CTATTTATTAGTTTACTTATTTTGCTCACTTGTTCTTGTGGTGCTGGGGCTTGAACTTGAGCCTTTGTATATGCTAAGCGCATACTCTTCCACTGAGCTATATTCACAGTCCTCTGGGGAAAATTCTTGAAATGGAATATAATACAGTAACAAAAATTAATTAGCAATAGCTAACTTTACAAACAGAGAAAACTCATAAGCTGTGTGCAAAATATTTATGTAGGCAATGCTGTATTTTGTTTAGGGATACAATAAAAAGCATGTAGCTATGCATGGGAATTAACTGACATTTAGAAAAATGCTTACTTTGCAGGGAGAGGAAGAAACAAAGGATATAACTGGGAAGAAAGACAAAGAGAACCTAAACCACATTTGTTACATTTTATTTCACAAGCTGGCTGCTGTAAACTTACATTTTTTTCAGTTAGTCAGAGCTGTTTCATAAAAAGTGAAATTCTGTGTAGTTGAGGAGTTTTAACCTGTTAATTGTTTCAGTACAAGTTGAGAGCCCTTACTGTCTCCCAGTTTTGTTTTGATTTTTGTTTTGTTTTTTTCTTGATAGAGTGCTTGGACCATTTACCTAGTAAGTCGGGCATCTGTCTATACTTGTTGAAGTGCTGTTTACAATGGATACAAGGGAGTGATGTGGTCAAAGTCCATCTTGTCTACTAGTCAGTCAGTCCTATGCTCTTATGTGCACAAGGGCAGAAAAGTGAACATCACCAGGAGGGGGAGGTACTCCTTTCACCGCCCAACAGTCCACACAGTGTGTCTGCAGGGCATAGCAGCCAGGCTGTGTTGTTGTTGTTGTTGTTTTCCTTACTTTTTTTGAGACAGTCTCCTTTATTTAGCTTAAGTTGTCCTTGACTTTGTGATCCTCCTGCCTCAGCTTCCAGAGGGCTAGCATGACAAGTGTATACCACTGTAGCCAGTTCCCAAGCTGCATGGCTTATGTCACCAGTGTATGCTACACATGTACCCACTATAACCAAGAGAGAGGAACCTTTCTTCAGCCAAGAGAACTAAGATGACTTGCTTGCTTGCTGCCAAATTTGTACTTGGGTTATGTTGGTATCTTTCTAGTACTTATACCTTAGGGTAAAGGTGATCAGTTTTCTCTAGTTGTTTGTATTTCTTTATTTCATTTTGTTTTTATGCTCTTGGGACAACATATTCAAGCAGTGAAGACTAATATGCCAATTTATTCTTAGTGACACATAATTTAACAATTGTAGGGATAAGAACACTTTAATAAATCTTTCTTTTCAGTTTACTACCAGAGCCTTTATGAGCTTTTGTCTTTTTGGCTAAGCTGCAGATGTGAATCCTTTTTAAAAGTTACTTTCCTCATTTCATAATCAAAAAGGAATTATTCTTCAATAAAATCTACACTTTTCCTTTTCCTAAACTCTGACCCTTTTCATCTAAGTTGGAAAACTTTCATTTAAAAACCTTTACAGGTCTGCATCAACTTGTTTCTATTTTCTTTGCATGAGGTTAACGTTATATGATAGTGACATTTTTAAAACCCTTCTTGCTGTAATTTAATGGGTACATAAAATGTCTACGATATAGAGTAAAAGAACCCAAAGGCTTAGCAGAATGCAGGAAAAGAGGGAGGCACTCATAGAGCTGTATTTTTTTTTCTTCTTCTGTATAATAATTATGTGAGTCTTATGCCACAGGAAATACAATCCCAGAAAAGGACGGAATGCTAATTACCTAAACACCCAAGTTGTCTTTTGACTTCACCCAAGGGCAAGCACTTAGCACTCAGATCTGTCCTTGTGTTCAGAAACATCACCTCCCTTGACCGGTCAACATCCTTGTGTTTTAGGATTTTAAAGTAAGAAAGCATTCTAAGATTTGTATAGTGAATGATTAAACGTTAACTTAGTTCCCAAGTGTATAAGAAAATGGGTATAAAGATTGCAGAGGTGAAGTGAGATCCGGGAGGGGCTACACTGTTTTAATTTAGTACACAGATAAAACTCAAAGATTTGGGTCAGATAGAAAGAAATGTTTCCCCTTCGTTTTCGGAATCTTGCCCCCCCCCCCTTTTTTTTTTTTTTTTTTTTTTGCAAAGCTCGCGGTGTCCTTGCCCTTAGGAACTTAGGAACAGCCGAGAGTCATTTGAAACGACTCAATGCTGGAGGGGAGTTTTACTTTTCAGGTCATCCAATTTAGGAGATCCAATTTCTGCGGAGGGAAGAAAAAGACCGGGTGGGGGAGGGAAAAACCAGACTCCCAGTCTTCCGATCCTTTTACCTTCAATCCACAACCTGACACGCAGACGGAGCCAAGTCAGGGGGTTTTGCTTGAACCACCACCACCACCACCATCACTACCTTGTCACTCACGCCAGAGGAACACGCCCCTCCGGTTCTACTCTTGACCAATGGCGGCTCCCCTGCCTGCATAGTAATGAGCTCGAGACCTCCCCGGACCAATGGAGCTGCGGGAGAAGGGTTAGTTTTGCATGTACCTAAGTGATTTGCATAACCCCGCGGCCGGGGGTTTGGGAACCCGAGCGTGCAACCCTAGAAGGGAAAAGGACCCGCAGAGCCCGAGCTGCGGCTGGGAGAGCGCGGAGGACAGTCCCGGTGTTTGTGTGCGAGCTGGGGCGGGGGCTGGGGCGCAAGGCCGGCATGGCTGAAGGCTGCGCTCCGCAACCTTGAGGAGCCGCGCGGCTGGAGGCCCGGGACAGGGAGGCGACGCGGATGGCGGAGCGCGGCCCCGGCAGTTGCTCCGGGCCGGGCCGGCTGGCCTGAGCCGCTGGCGAGCGGGGCTGCCTCGCGCTTCCATGGAGCAGCGGGAAGGGACCAACTCCGGAGCGCCGCGTCGCTGCGCTGCTGCGGCGGACTGCTGACCGGACCCAGCCCACGCGGGCGGCCGAAGCACAGCGCCTGGCCCCGAGCCCCGCAGGCCGGCTGCCCCGGGGACGGAGGCCGGCAGCCGAGCAGGAGGCGCGGCGGGAGAGGCCGGGGCGGGAGGCGGCAGCAGCAATGCCGGGCCCGCTGCGGCTGCTCTGCTTCCTCGTCCTGGGGCTGCTCGGCTCGGCCGGGCCCAGCGGCGCGGCGCCGCCTCTGTGCGCTGCGCCCTGCAGTTGCGACGGCGACCGTCGGGTGGACTGCTCCGGGAAGGGGCTGACGGCGGTGCCCGAAGGGCTCAGCGCCTTCACCCAAGCGCTGTGAGTGCGGGCGATGCGCGGCGGGTGGGGGACCCGCGGGGCCAGAAGGAGGGGTCCATCCCAGCCCCCCACCTCCAAGCCCCAGTGCGCTGGGATCCAGGGTGCACCGGTCACCTGTGGGTGGGGGGGTTGGCACCCTCTGCTCCCGCGCCGTGGCCTTTCCAGACTTTGCCAGTCCGGAGCCCAGCCGCGAAGAGCTTTCTCTTTGCCAGACTTTGCGGGCACAATCGTCATCATCATCGCCCCAGAATCTCAAATCTCAAATCTAGGGCCAAGAAGGAGGGAGGACTCTAGACACGCTTGTCCTTGGTAGCCCTTCCACGCGACCTCTCCCCTCATGCGGTCCCCTGTTCATCTGGCCAAACTTTGGCCACCCGTGAGGGTGTCCAGAACTTGGCCTGCATTTGCCAACCAGGCACGTTGCACCGGGAAGCACCTGGATCCCCCCCCCCCCCAGGGTTCCCGCATGCCCGGAGAAGGAGTACCTCTACCTCGGGAAGGTAAATTGCCTTCCAGTGTATCCCCATCCTGGCTCTGCAACCTGGAACCCCAGCCAGATCCTCCAGACACTATCCGCTGCACGCCTGGGGGCTCCGGGGCACAAGGGAGAAGGAGGCTTCTCTCGGTGGAAATATCTCTTATTCAATAAGGCTTTTTAAAGAAGGAATGCTGACTTGAGATAGAGAATGTTGGAAAGAGAAAGTTCCAGAGCACGTGCTCACTGTAGTCTGCAAGGTGGGCAGCCGTGTTCTGCCTGTACCTTCCCCAGCTGAACTTTGCATTTGAGCTTCAGGAGGTCGGGAGAGTCACACAAGTGGTTCTCCCTCTCCACCGCTGTGTTAGAGACCAGAGCCTTCAACTTCCCTTCAGAAAAGAAGAGGGATCTGAAATAGGTGTTGGAGGTGGTGTTGACAAATACCGCCGGTAGAAAAAGAATAGGGTAATTGAGCACAGGGCAGCTTGGGTGCCCCCTTTCTTCCTTCTCGTTGTGTGGCTTCTTGCACGATTAAATCAGGAGCAGTGAAAGAGCTGTTAGGGCAAGGAAGGGGTCTGAGAGGCCCTTGGGTAAAGGAGACTTCCTTTTACCTTCTAGCTACTAAAGAGACCTCGTAGATCTAGACAGCATTAAGGGAATAACAGACCTAGTGAAGAAAAAATAAAACCCTCCGTTTAGGCAGGCCAGGGCATTGCCATGTTTCCAGGTGGGTGGTGATAAGGTGCTGTGCTGGCCGCTCAGGTTGGGAAAATGAGAACTGAGGCCTATTGCTTTGGAACCTTTGTGAGGATTTCACCCTAGTCTTTGTTTTTGTTCCAGTCTCAGGAGTTAGTTTTGAATTGAAAGTCATTTCCCTTCAGTGTGAGCTTTAACTTCTCACCAAAAAGTTGACTTTGAAGCGTGGATCTCTATGTTCACACAGGCATAATGAGTAGCAAGGTTTAAGAAGGATTGAGAAGCGAGGTAAAGAAGACCTGGGTGGAGGAAAGGGGCGTTTTTCTTTCCTCTAAACTCTACAGACTTATAAAGAATTCAAGAGAAAGGTAGGTGACTCTACCTGAACTATTCAGGTGGCTTTTCATATAATAGAAAAATATAATTTTACTACATAGACCAGTTGTAAATACTCGGTTTAGCACATTCCTCAAACTTCAGTGAATAGACTTGTCCTGTAAGGAAAAAGGCCTGCTTTACATAGTGCCTTAAACTAGAAGGTAATGTCACATTTTTAGGGGTGCTTGCTCCCCTCTAGAGAGCATTAGGCTCCCTGAAGCTGTCCCTGGAGATAATAAAATGCAGTGTCTTCAACCTTGACCCTTGAGAGAGTTACTGTATATGGCTTGTAGAATGAAAAAAAAAAAAAATAGTCGCACTTTCTAAGTGGTACTGGTGAGTCAAATGTGTTGTATTTCTTTGTGATTAATAGGTAGAGTGACTACATTCTGATTACTCCTTACTTCATCCTAATACCTTTGAGTTCACCCTCAGAAGTATGCATTATATATGACTACTTTGTCTGAAGAGGTTTTGAAGGGCAGTATATATGAATTTAACACACAAGAAAACCAGCTAATTCTCAAGAACCTTGTGTGAGGAGGGGCAGGTGCCACAGGTCTGCCCTTTGCCTGCTCTTATAGGATACCTTAAGATCGCCAAGGTGACTGTTGCACCACTATAGCTTTTGTGAGCCACAGTTCACACTTAGAGGCTAAGCCCATGGTCCTGAAGCTTTTGTTTACATATTCTTAATTTCTGGATCATGTCATTCATAAAATTACAAACACAAAACTAGAAGTTATAAAGATGAGACTAGTTGCTCATCATCAAAGCTCTTTCTCATTCCTCAATGGCTTGTACAGTGATAGTGTTTTCACCTCCCTCTGCGGTGTGCATCTCACCTGGGAGACCTCAGGACTGGCAAAGACCAGGGATTTTAGTTTACTCAGCTCAATCCACGGAGTCTGGAGGAACTTGAAAATTCTGGAGTGAGTGATAAGGACATAGGGACACACTAAAGAGCCGAATTAGGGCTTAGAATCCAGACACCATTCCCATGAGGCTTTACCAAATTCAGCATTGTCAGCATTTAAGCCTTCTGTCCCAATTTGAGAAGGCCCTAGAGAGGATACCTGCTGTTCCTACTTGAGGCACATTTAAACATGTGCAGCCAAAGTGTCCATTCCTGCTGAATGTTCCCTTACCACACTTGGAGGACAGAGGCAGATGTGACCCCCAATACCCTTGATGATACTCCTGCATTCCACAACCCTTTGTAGTGAATATTTCTGAACAGCTGTCTTGACTCCCATACCACAGCTGGCCTGGAGCTGGCTATGGAGGCCAGGCTGGCCTTGATCTCAAAGAGATCTGCCTGCCTCTGCCTTCTGAGTGGAGGGATTAAAGGTATGCAACACCACATTGTCTCATAAAGTCAGTCATAATTATGTTCTACAATTTGAGGAGAAAGAGATAAAGTCACAAGGGTGGTGAGTAGGGGATTTTAAAAATTAATTTGTGTTAGCAGGGCATGGTGGAACACACCTTTAATCCCAGCACTTGGGAGGCAGGGGCAGGCAGATCTTTGTGAGTTCAAGGCCATCCTGGTCTACATGGTGAGTTCCAGGACAGCTGGGACTACAAGGAGACCCTGTCTCAAAAACACCAAAAAAAAAAAAAAAATTAATATGTGTTTATTTGTTATGCCACAAAGTTTGAGAACCGTAGACTTAGAACACAAAGTTTGAGAACCGTAGACTTAGAACACAAATTTTCATATCCAAATTATGCCTTGCACATAATTTTAAGATTATAAAAGCTGCTTTTGTGACTTCCTAGGAGAGTGGTAGGTCTGAGTCCTTGATCATAGTCCTTCCCTCACCACTGAGCAGCTCTGTGGCCTTGGGCAAGTCATTCCACCTCTTTTTGGAGGGGTGTGTGTGACAGTTTCCTTATCTGAAAAATAAAGTAATTGGATTCCCTAGATTATCACCAGAGCCCTTTCTGCCTTCTAGAACTTCACTGATTTTATAGCTCTTGGAGGGTTTGAGGATGGTGAATGGACAGTGATGTTAGATAAAATCATCTCAAGGAAAGATCTCCGAAGTAACAGAGTATTCTTCCAGTGGAAGCTGCACAAGCCTCTTCATTCTCACTCACTTGGAGGGGATCATCTTTGTGTTTAGAAGTGTGTGTTAGGAAATTTGCCATGGAGACTTGTTGCAGAATTCATGAGTAGCAAGGGCACTTTGCTAGGGCAGAATAGCCTTGCTTGTTTCCTGTGGGTATGGCTTAACACTTGGAAAATAAAATCACTCTGTTTCACTAATTTGGATACTGTACAAAAAGTTACTCAGTGTCCTCACTTCCATGTCATTAGTCATCGTCCAAACTTTCACAGCCTGTATATCCTGTACATGAGCAGATTATCAAGCTCTTCATATGGAATTGTTGCTCATCTGAAAGCCTTTGAAGTACTTTTAAAGACTCGGCTGCTTTTTCTTCTCTTTTTGTTAGTATCATCCTGGATTCTTCTCCAAGATGTATATTTTTTTTCAGTCTGCCAAGCATTTGAAAATATTTTCTTACTTATCTTTCAGTATCTACTGTGTGTTCCCTGGCAGGTCAGATTGCTAATCAATGTGTAAATGTTTGCACTTTATCGGGGGTAGAATATGATAACTTTCTTGTTTTTTGAATTATCTGCAAATTTCATTGTTAGTGTGTCGATAGTGCCTTTCTAGAGATGGGTTAGTTTTATACAGGTCTGCTTCAAAGCAAGCACAATATATGAACATCTTTCAGTATGGATCCAATTTTTACAAACTAGTGAACCACTGTGTTCTTTAAGTACTTAAGAGGAAAGAGCCTTCTATAGGTAACATGGAGAGCTAGGTTCCAGATCTGTCAATAATTCACTGGAGTAACCTTGAATGAGTCATGTGCTTAACCCTTCAGGGCTTTAAATTCTATAGTCCACAAGACAGAGAGGTTAATAACTCTTATTGACAAGAGTTTTCTTTGTATTTAATCTAATTGATTTCAGTTTTTCAAATTTAATTTTCAAAACCCAGTATTTCATGGCTTTGCATATGCTGGACAAGAATTCTACTGATAAGCTATACCCACTAGCCCAGATTTTTCATTTTTATATATTTCTGGAGTCTGTTGTGTGAGACTCTGACCCACTCAATAGATCCTCCAGTTGTTCAGTTTACCCGGAGTACTTCCATGGGACAGGGAGCCCATGTCTCCCCAAGCAACATGTGTTGGATGTAGTCCAATATCCCTTACTTACTGACTAAAAAGGACAGGGAGAATAGGATAAGCACAGGCAGGGAAAGCAGAAACCAAAATCTAAACTGGCAGGTTGTCGGCACTTTCTACCATCATAAAGATGACTAAAATACAAATCTGAGAGACAGACTGACAAAGGCAGAGGCCAAGAAAATGCCTAAACTTGCCTGGATCCACCTACTAATACAGATCTTTGATCTTAACTGAGAGA